GAAATTTTTCTATGATTTAAATTTGCAATAAAATTCATTTTATATTTTAACCAAAAATCTAAGTAAATGTTTTATTTAAATAAAGACATTTAATTTTATGCTAAATCTACTGTTTTATTATTATTTATATATTTAATGTCTAAAATATTAGCTCTTGAATAAGATATGTTGTGAAAACAGAATCTAGTATTGAATGCTTTGAGTTAATTCGACTACCAGTTAATTGGTATCATTTTCATTTACAGTATATGCAATTTGTGTGAAATGTCATCTTTTTCCCACTTTATCCAATAGAATATTTCAATTATACCGTCTATGCATTAAATACAAAGTAGCATTTAGTTTACGTTACTTATCATTTATAATCCATAAGGATTACTCAATGTAATTATTTTATTATATTTGAGTTATATTTAAACTCATGGTTCAATCAATATTATATCAATCAATATAAAACTATTTTGTAATTTTAAAATATATTTAAAAATAACTTTTAAAAAATAGTAAATTCCTGATTTGAGAGAAATAAGAACTGCTTTACAATAAGACTTCATAAGAATATAACAAGAAATTAATAATTTATGGGTTATAAGAATATGTGCTTTAAATGAATTCATATTATATGATCACATGATATATAAGTTAAGGAATGTCGGGAATAAAGGCCGGATTGTCGGCGCTTATAGTTGTCTTGTCTATTGTCTGGCATTTCATCAAAACTGCCGGTTCTTTGTATGGACTCGAGTCATGGCCTCGAAATGACAGACAGTTTGCATATTGAGTTCGCCATTCATTTCTAAGAGCCTTATCTTTAGGCCCCCAGTTGTCCGAATCAATACACGACAATTCAAGTCTCTGTACATTTCAATTCAATTCATTATTCAATAATTATGAATATAGTTTAAAAACTTACTTCTTTTAGATTCTGTCCTTTATTTTGCTTATAAATGGCATAAATGGCCCAAATGGGCACTTGTAGTACAATGAGCAAGGTGAGACAGATTCCCGCTGCATCCGCCCAATCGGGGTAATCATATTCGCCATACTATTTACATAACATTTATAATTAAATTTTTTAGTTAAATACGAAGTAATTGTAAAACAATTTTGTAATCAATACTTTTAAGGGCTCAAAATTAATGAGCGAATAAACAAAAATGAGGGACAGAATGATGGGTGACGTGTATTTCCACGTTATCTTCCAATAGATTCCCAATTGTTTTCCTAACATAAAGTTTATATCGAAGGCAAACCTATCAAAGCCATAGATCCACATCA